ATTATTCTATTACAAATAAGCCAAACTCCCCCTGTTGAAGTGTGTTTTTGTCTTGCAAAGGTATTTCCAAATCTGGGAATGCTGAAAGATTACAGCTGAATTGAAATCCTAAGAAGCAGAGTTGGTATAGTATGGTCAGGAGCCAGAAGTTGGCAGAGGGTGCGTGAAGCTAGGAGAGGCCGTTGGTAACCACTAGCAAGAGTGCCTGGGGTTTTCCCCTGAGGCTGAGCATCTGCAGCTTTGGTTCTCTGCTCCACCTCACTAGGGGAAAAATAGGTATAGATCACATTCATTTTCCATCCGCTAAAAGGATGTTTTGAGAAGTTCTAATTATGGAAACAGGTATTTACTAAAGAGAATGTCTAATTTCCTTCCTACCATTTACAGTTAAAAGACATGGTCATCACTCTCAAAAATTAAGGTAAGTAGAAAACCATTATTTCCATTTTTTTCTATTTTCCATTGACAAACATTGATATCAGTTGATTGCCTGATAATATAAGATGGAAAAGTTCACAGTATACAGCTAGTTTTAAAAGTGGGTTAAAAAATCAGAGATGGAGTATGCTCACAGGTTTTTAGTAAATGTGGGATATGAATATTAACATATTGAAATATTAGTAGTTACTATGTCTTTATACTATATTGTTACTAAGATTATTAATTCAGTCTCTATGAATAGTTAATTGAAATTATTAATGACTTTAACTTCTTTTGGACTTTTCCAAATTTTCTGACTTGAGAATATATCATTAATTTAATTGGAAAGTTTTTTTATTTATAAAAAGTCATTACTTTAAGCATAATTAAGTTTTTCAGACATTATCTACAAACCACACAAAATTATTACCTTCTGCACAGTTTAAGAATATTACTCTAAATCACTTCTGGGATTACAGAGTCCCTATGGAGAGAACAGAGTAGAATTTAAATGGGGTATCAGAGCTAAAAGCAAGTTCTCTAACAATGTTTAGAGTACTCGTTGGTGGGAGATTAATGTGCTATCGCTACAAATACAAGACGGGTCATTCTTATAAGCTGGACAACTTTACCACTGGTTTACTTACCTTGACTCTACCCATAGAAAGCTACTGTAGTATAGCTACAGTTCAAAAGACGAGAGGTAAGCTCGATGAAGTGAAACCATAGTGCATTAGCATGTGGACACACAGAAGCTGGAAAATGAAATGGTGTATATGTACTATAATTGTATATAGTACATACAAATATGTACTATATCTGTATGTAAACTGACATCCTGTTTTAATAAACAAATCCTACCAAAACGCTACTTATCATTTGTGGAGGAGCTGAAAATCCTACATTGAAACTTGAATATTATTATTAATAAAACTATAGGCCTTATTCAAATGTCACCAATCTTTCACTAATGTCTTCTGTTCCAGGACCTATTCCGGTTCTCACTTGCATGTAATGATATTTCTCTTTAGGCTCTCCCTATTTTTAACAGCTTCTTAGATTTTTTTTTACTTTGAAAGCTACCAAATAAAACAATGAGAACAGAAATATGGATTAGAAGAACTACTAAATAAAGAAAATATATTTAATATCTATGAGCATTTTAAATCATGCATTTCTCCTTGCCACAGAAATGGAGAGAGAAGATGTGAAACTGGAGATGAAGATTAAATTAATATGTAATATGTGTTGTCCACTCATTCTGCCAAGAACTACTACACGTTATGCCAATCTTCATAACAATGATATGAAATACTTATTACTATGCTAATGTCAGATCAGAGAAGTTAAGTATCTTGCCACAGTGTCAAGAGGAAACTCTTGATTCCAAGTCATCTGTTCTTTCCATTTAGACAGTACTTTTCCATAAATAAACCTGAACAGTAGTAAAGACAGAGGTAAAAGGTGTTAGGTATAATGATGTTATATAGCACAGCCTTAGAGACAGAGCATGCAGGCTGGGTCTAGGTTATTCATCCCAGCACTGAGTCTATTGCTGAGATAGAAGTTCTCATGATATAAGCTTTCACTGTCCTCCCAGGAATGAAAAATTCACTTGATTTCCTCAAAGAAAAGATCATGAGAAAATTCAAGATAATCCTCAAGACCAGGTAGGAAAAAGAAAAGAGACTTTGGCTCTTTGCCTTCACTCACCCAGAATTATTCATTAGTAATTCCTTCTGGGGCACATAAGAGCTCATTTATTCCGGCAAGAACTGCGGGTCTCTTGAAGAGATGTCTCATGATGTGAAGAATGAATTTTATCATGAAAACTAGGGAAAACTTGGTGATTCTGGAATTAAAGTGTGGTTCCCAGTGGTGACAAATTTATCCCAAGGAAATCTTTGAGGATGGCTGTGGATAATCTGATTTGAGGATCTCATTAGGTGCAGTGTGGAATGTTGGCTGACTTTATCAGCTTAGAAGCAAACCACTGCTTTCTTCTGCTGGCCAATGCAGTAGGAGATGGGTATGTGAATGCACATGATTCAGAATTTTCAGAAGATTCTTTCCTTCCAAAGGGAATCCCCAGTGGTGAAGATCAAACTAAGGACAAGGTCTTTCGGTGTATGGATAACACTCATGGAGCCAGGAAATTGAAACTTGACCACTTTTTGAGCAGAAAGAAAGAAGTTATAACTGAAGATTCTACAATTTCTCCAAAGTCCTTCCCATGCACCAAGTATCTTCCTATCTGTATGATGTTGCTGGTATGTTTAATGCATCCCATCTGTGCTGCTGCTCTTGACCAAGTGATAATGTGTTTTAGAAATATTCCTCTGTCAAGAACTCTGGATGTGTTAATGTGTTGTACAAGGAAGATATAGTTGTAAGATCACCTTGATTGAAACCAGAATATTAAATGGCATAGTCTATATTACATATATTAAGAGAAATCCCCACTCCAATTTTCTGTCCACTGGATGTCTTTTCTATTCTTTTTATTTTAGCAACAGCTGGAGTCACCAGCACCTGGACAATTGTGCTTCTTTGGCGATCTCCAAATAATTAAAAAGAAGACAATGATACAATCTTGGCACCAAAGTAGTTTCCTACTAAGAAAAATAATACTTTTGCCTCTTATTTTTAATACCAGGAAATATGTGCATTGAAAAATTAGAGAAAAAGGAAAAATACTAAGAAAATGTAAAAGACTCTAAAATGTATCTTTCAAAGAAAAAACATAGTTAATACTTTGATGTGGTTGTGTCCAGGTATGTGGATATAGTATTATAATCATTCATATTGCCATTAAACTTACATTTCTCATACAAGATGAGCATTTCCCCCTGTATCCTAACTTCAAAAATCAAACCTTTAATTAGTATAACAAATGAAAATACACTTTTTCACATGTTATAACACTCTCCTCCACTAGGACCAGTGGTGTAGTGGGGCATGAGTTGGGCCGAGAACCACAAGATCTGTGGTTCAAATCCATGAGCCATTCCGAGGAACAAAGATGAGGCTTTCTCCTTCCATAAAGATTTCTAATCTTGATACCCACCGGGGCAGGTCTACCCTGTCCTAAAGGGTCACTATGCACTGGAATCCACTCAATGGCAGTGAGTTTCGTTGGTTTTGATTGTTTTGTTGTTGTTATTTTGAGAGAAGGGGAAAAACTATGACAACTATCCCAGGATATAAGAGCTAAGTTTAGTGCTCCCCTGAAAGACTTGGGGAAGGGGGGCAGGAGGGGGCCTCCTTCTCTTCTATTTCTTCACCTCATTCTCCTGCTAATTTAGAAGAACTGTGGCCAAACAAATCAAAACTGCCTCAAGTCACGCCTTTGAGGAAACAAGCCCCTTTGTCAAGGCACCAGAGCTAGGTGAGGAAGTGCGCGAATAAGGGAATCGAGTCTAAATGACTAAAATCGTCTCTTTTTCATCTTTCCTAAACCACTGTTTAGGTGATGACTCACTAAGAAGATTAAAATGGCGAAACCAAGAGAACTGCTCTATGTGTTCAAGCAAGGAATAAACCCTTCTACTCTCCAAAAACACAGGAGCGGATCAAGCATTTGATTGGAGATTGATGAGAGGCCAAGGGAGGCATTTTCTCCTTCTGCAGTCACAGGCCAGCAGCTAAAAGTCTTTCATCTTGGTTGGGCATCATAACAGACAAATGTGAAACAATTGAAGGAGCACAGCTAGATGTGGCTGGAATTTTTAAAACAGAGAGATCGGGGTCTGCATTGGAAAAGGTAAGTACGGCAGCAAGGTTCATTTAATCAGACCTGAGACATTTGTAGAGGCAACGAGTAAGGTCTGTGAAAGGAAGTCTAGAGGGTTTAACCAGAAGCCAGACTAAAATCAAACTTGTTGCTGTTGTATCGATGCCAACTCATAGCGACCTTACAGGGCAGAGTTGAACTGACCGTAAGATTCCCAAGGCTGTACATCTACACAGACACAAACTGCCACATCTTTCTCCTGCAGCACAGCCAGTAGGTTGAAAACATCAGTCTTGTGATCGGCAGCCAAGCACTTAACCACTGCACTGCCAGGGGTCCTCTTCTGCAGCCAGACTTCCAGGCTATCTTGAGTCCTACTGTATGGCTTTGGACAAGATATTTCAATTTCCCTTTGTCTGTTTGTTCTACCTTAAAATAAGGATGGTAATAGTACTTATCTCATTGGGATCCAGTAAAAATCAAATGAGTTCTTGAAACAGTGTCTGACACAGTAAAGATTAGCTCTGACTAGCCCAGCCACATTAATAGTTACTGGCATCCATGGAAAATTTTGTGCAAACCACATTCATGAGCATATTTTATATGCTCCTCAGAATATCTGTTGCCATAAAATAAAAATCATATGAAACAGCTTGAAATACTACTGTGCTTAAGTTGCATCCTCAGTAAAATTAGCATAATATCCCCGGTTCTCAGTACAGTTCTAACAAATATGATTCTCTGAACATCAAACAAAATAATGAAAATTAACTAGTCTTTAACATCTACATAATTCACATTTCTCTTAATCGTGTCCTTATCTGAACTCTGCAGGTGGCTTGGTCATATGGCGATGGGAAACCTTTCGGTTGTGACGGAATTCTTTCTGGTGGGGCTTTCCCAGTACCCAGAGCTCCAGCTTTCTCTGTTCATGGTCTGCCTCATCATGTACCTGATAATCCTCCTTGGAAACAGTCTCCTCATTCTCATCAGTCTCCTGGATTCCCGGCTGCACACTCCCATGTACTTCTTCCTTGGGAACCTCTCCTTTCTGGACATCTGTTACACATCTTCTTTCATTCCTCCAATGCTTATCATATTTGGGTCGGAGAGAAAATCCATCTCCTTTGTTGGGTGTGCTCTTCAGATGGTTGTCTCCCTTGCCTTGGGATGCACCGAGTGTCTTCTCCTAGCTGTGATGGCCTATGACAGGTACATGGCCATCTGCAACCCACTGAGGTACTCCATCATCATGAATAGGATGCTCTGTGTGCAAATGGCCGCATTGTCCTGGATTATAGGCAGTCTGACCTCCTTAGTACAAACTATGCTGACAATGCTATTACCTTTCTGCGGGAATAATGTCATTGACCACCTTACTTGTGAGTTACTGGCTCTTCTTAAACTCGTCTGCTCTGATATCTCTATCAATGTGCTTATCATGACAGTGGCAAGTGTTGTTGTTTTAGTGATTCCTCTACTGCTAATTTTCATCTCCTATGTTTTCATTCTGTCTACTATATTAAGACTTAATTCCACTGAGGGGAAAAAGAAAGCCTTTTCTACCTGTTCAGCTCACATAGCTGTGGTCGTCTTGTTCTATGGTTCAGCCCTATTTATGTACATGAAACCCAAATCAAAGGACACAAAGACGTCTGATGAGATCATTGGGATGTCTTATGGAGTGGTGACTCCAATGTTGAACCCCATCATCTACAGTCTAAGGAATAAAGAGGTAAAAGAAGCGGTGAAGAAAGTCCTGAGCAGACACCTACACTCATGGAAAATATAAAAGCCATTAAAGGATGCAATAATTTTTGTTGGAGGAAACAGGTGTCTGTGGTAGTCACAGAAAAAGTAGAACTCAGTATTGTGAGAGCTTTGCAGCGGCAAAAGTAAAAGTGAGACTGTCTTTGTTTATGCCAGGCAATGCCCATGTAAATTTTAAAAAGAATATCCATTCATCATACTTTATAGTTGCATGTATATCATCCTCTGGGTCCCTTATAGGCCAGGATGGAAGCTCATTGTGGCAAGAGAATTCTCTCTCTCTCTCTCTCTCTCTCTCCTTCTATTTTCTTTCTTTGCTCTTCCATTCCTTCATTACATTTCCCCCAATATTTTAAAGCATAGCCTATTGCTTTAGTCTGTATAAACAGGTCCTCATCTGATAAAATAGCACATTTTCCTTTTAAAGTCGTCACCTATCTTTGTCTCTGTGTTGGACTTTAGAGAAACAAATCCACAGAAACTCGTGTATGAGAGAGTTTTATATAAAGGGTAAGTGCACATCAAGAAGACATCCCAACCCAGTGCTGTCCAAGCCCACAAGTCCAACATTAACCCATATGTCTGACACCAATCCACAAAGTCCTCCTCCATCTCATAAAACACACGCAGTGGTGCTGACTGGAGGAGGAAAGCCGAATCAGTGAATGTGTAAGCATCTCAGTGCTGGCAGGGGTCTCCACACGGCTGCTCCAGCACCCAGGGCTGCATCAGGGTAAGTCCATGTGGCTTCTCCTCAGGGATGTCTTGCAGGAAGTGAGCCTTACCAGCTGAAGTTGGGAACTGGCTAAGGCAGCTGCACCCTGGTCCAACCATCAAAAAGCAAGAGTCCCGAGAACTAAAAAGGCGAGGCCCACTGAGCCATTTATCTCTCCGCCCTTCAATTAACCCCACATGTGTTTACCAGCCAGGTTGGCACAATAAACTCACTATCTGAGACTCTCAAGTCCATATATTGCTAAGTGATCTTGACTGCAGTATCTAGATCAAATGGTGAGCACAGAACACCGACTGGGCCAGTGGAAAGGAGGTGAGGGAGAAGCGGGGGATATCCTCCAAGCCACTTCGTTCTCAGTGCAGCATCTGACCTAAAACATGATGATTTCTCCGATTAAATTTCAGGTCTATTGCCAGGGTTTCAGAGGAGTCACTTTATCTTCCAGGGTTTCTAAAGCAGTACAATGTGAGCCAGGAGCTTTTATTTGGTCATATGTGTCGATATGTGGAAAGAGCCAAACTAAGAATCAAATCACCACAGAGGAAATTAGAGCTAAAAGAAGGAAAGGAGTGTGCCTGATGAGGTTAGTTTAACTTCTCAGTCAAGTTGGGTCTAGAGACAAACGCATGTTTGACTTGTCAGCTAGGGTAGCCAATAAATTACCTTTTTAAAAAAGAGTTTGGCGTGATTACCGTAACTTGTAACCATATAAACTTGACTACCTCATTCCCTTGCCTTACCCCATATCCTCTCTCCTCTTTGATCCTGCCTTTATCTTTTCCTCTGCATGTCCCTTTTCTCATTTTTATGCCTGTATGTCTCTCTTCCTTCACCTATCATTTTAAATTGTTTCTTTTTTTTGCTCTCACTTTCTTGTTCTTTCTTTGTTTCAAATGACACTCGAGATTTTAAAATAAATATCTATACGTGATCCCAAATCCAACATTTAGAAGTCATCTCTTTCTATAGTAGCTAATGTACAATAATCTGACTCCACTCTGCTTGCCTGCTTTCAGCTCAGTTCAGGAAAGTAGTGCTGGAGCCGTTTTACATTTTCCAAATTGTTAGTTCTTTTATTCCCCAGATTGTTATACAGAGCTTCTCAGTCATTTCTTTCTGATCATATTATAATTCTCTTTCATTGGTATTTAATCTATATACAGTCTACTTGTTCCCCCAGCAAAGAGTGTATACAGGTCCCCTGAAAAGTACAAAATATTTGTTTAATAGGCTTTATTTGGGTTTAGAATGAGATAAAAGTGACTTGGTAAAGAAAAAGCTTCAATAGTCAATAATTTCTATTTTCTACTCAATAAGCCTCTTCATACTTCTCTGGCATGTGACTAGCCACTGTGTTGCAAGATCGATGTGTTGCCTTCTCACAAGAGCTGGGTTGCCACAATTAAAATCTATATGTCAAAGCAATCCTGATTATGGCCCTCTCAAATAAAAGGGGTGTGTGCGGGGTGGGGGGGATGTTAGAGAGCAAAGGTACTCTTAAATTAATGGCAGTATGGTAGTTGCATAATCTGGTTTCAACTTGCGAGGGGGGTAGTATTACTGACAATGAGCCTGATGCTGTCAGAAAACTAATCCCATACTTCATATCAATTGAATAGTTTAGATAAGGATTAAGACAAACTAAATAAGGATTGAACTTGACTGTCTTAAGAACTGAGTTTAGGATCTGACTGTACTAGGTTTATACTGTTTTCTCTTGACTATTGTTATTGATATAATGATTGATGGAAATGAGTATTTGGAAGTATGAAAATAGAGTTTGTAAGCCTTGCCTTCAGTCATTAAAATTTGAATCTTTAAATGCATTGAAGACATGCCTGCAAAGAAGGCTCAGAAAAGATAAGCCCCACCCAGTGTCTTGATGGCTCAGGACGTTCGAAGGTGAAAAGACTTGCCTAGGAGGCTGTTAGACAGGTTGGGGGGGGGGGAAGGAACTCTTTGGATTTTTGAGTTTTGAAATAGTGGATTTTGTCTAGAAAAAAATGTGGAACCATGAAGAAAACTCCTCTCTAGGACTGAATGTTAAAGGGAGCTGGCGGGCTGAAATGCTTGCTAAGTGACCACCTGGATCCACTTGTTGAGTGGAAGTGGGAGAAAAGCAGCAATAGAGAGTCTGGTCTGGTCACTGACATCCATGGACCAGGCTTACAGGAACTAGAGGAGAAGACGAGAGTGGGCTGACTGGTCTGAAGTTCATGACCTACAAGGAGCTAGGGTTGTTGAGAATTTGTGACAGTGCTCATGGTCTAAAGGCAAGGCAACCACTGGGCACCCTGGTGAGGCTAAGTGAGGCAGCCCACACTGAGTTGACTAGAATCCAACTAAATGAAGAGAAGATATTTGAGCCTGTGAACTGGTGCATATTGCTGCAGACTTTACGGATGGTCTGTCCAGATTTGACTTTGCTTATGGATGCAGACTTCACAAGTTTCCAACAGGAATGAAGATTCTTCACATGAAGGAACATGATTGTCTCCTCAGAGCACTGGGTTGACGTAAGGGGGCAATATAGAAATTGGATTCCCAAGATGTGGGGATAAAGGCATGACATGGCTGGCTTACAAACTTTCATAGGTGGGGGAATATATTCATAGGATTATGGGATTATGGTTTAGGTGTTCACGTAAGCATAGACTATTGTGGTATTTTTCACTTACAGATTATGTTTAAATGAAGCTTTGGCACTTATTGAATTGTAGGTTTTTTTGTTTTACCCTTTAGGTACATATATAATTGTAATATTGTTTGGAAATTATATATGGCTAAAGAGTTGTGTAAAAGTGTCAAGTTGACAAGGAGTCGTCTGTGGTAGTTACATAATCTGGTGTCAATTTGTGAAGATGGGGAGTCTAGCCTGTCGATCAGGTCATAGCCAATGAGGCCTCTATGTGGGCATGGCCTTCTCCTGAGGATTCTTGGAACTCAATATGCCTCCCTGAAGGGAGGAGACCCTCTCTCTCTGCTTTGTCTCCCTGTGAGATATTCCTGTTGACAAGCCGCATGGAGCTGTGCTGATGGCAGTCAGAGCCTTGGAGCTGGAGGAGCCATGTGGAGATTCACGCCAGTGCTAAAATGCTCCCACCGCCTCTGGATCCACAAGATATTCCACCCACTGACCTGTGAACTTTCATTCAACATCATTGCATGTGTTATGTGAATCTGAAGAGGAATTTACAGACTGGTATCGGACATATAGGCTAATATCAGACTTATGGACTTGATCTGGACTGGGCTGGGATGTTTTCTTAATGTACAATTGCTCTTTGACATAAATTTCTCTCACACACATAGGAGTGTTCATTAATTTGTTTCTCTAGTCAACCCGGCCTAACACAGTCCGCATCAACTTTTACTTTAGTAGAAAAACTCAGGCCATTCAAACAACTGCAGGCCTATTTGTCCTTATGTCATGTCAATGATTTGAAGATATTTGCATCCAGTATAAAAGCACCTTTTCACACATGTCTGTGTTATTCATTTTAGGAACAACAACTATAGAAAAATACCTTACATCATGTTTGCCTTGGCAATAAAATGATTTAGTACTGAAAGAAAAATTCTCTTTAGACAAATCTTTACAATCTGCTATTAATGAAAGCATGTGGTTTCCTCATTGTCTCCCCAAATAAGGATTTCAGTCCCCTCTACTGGACACCAATGTTAGATACCATGCATCGCATGCCAGGAAAAAGAAATTTTATAAGTTCTAACATAAAATAATGTGCAAAGTACAGCTGTATCATCACAACCAAATCTCACAGATTTAAAAGGATCCATGTGTCTTGACAGAAGGATGTGTCACAGGGAGTGAGTGTGTCCCGCCTCAAGTGAGGTATTTATCTTCTTAGGCCTCCAAATGAGGTCATCAAGCTGCGACCTGATTGGCAGGCTAAACTCCACCACTTCACTCTTAAGTCTCAAATTGACAACAGATTATGTAACTACCACACATGTGATATTTCTTAACATTTTTTGTTTACGCCTCCATCACTTGGTAACTTTTTACTAGCATTCCTCTTGTATCTTCCAGAGATGTTCTCCCTGAATCCCATGCCTGAATTAGGCAACGCTGTTACGCGTTCACACAATATTCTGTCCTCACTCCTGTGACTTAAGTTTTAACCTGACAATAGATAGGTCAATAAAGTGAACAATAATACTAGAGAAGTACTCATTCCTTGATATAATCAACCATTTTAAATCAAAAGCGCATCATCTGCCCAAGGAAAAAGTTCAAAAGGCAGGAAGAGGAGTAATAGAAATGA